TGGTTTTTGGAAATCAATAGCCACATTACTGATTTCCACTGTGGCTTCCAAAATAAAAGATGCACTATGGATCATCTTGTCTGCTTTAAAACATCAATAAGAGAAGCCTTCATCAAAAAAGAACACCTGATAGTCATTTTCTTTTACTTGGAAGAAGCATGCAACACCACTTTGAAATATGAAGTATTTTTGGTATTATGAGAGACTTGCATTATCTTGGGCTTAGCAACAAACTGCTAAACTATATAAATAATTTTCTGTTGGAGAGAAACTTCAAAGTTCATGTAGGATCTACCCTTTCCAAGCTTCAAAAACAAAGGAAAAGTTGTTCCACAAGGAACCACCTGAATACAGACATTAGTTTTAAGGATCTAAAATTACACCAGTAGATTGTTAAAGAGAAATATGGCCTAGTGGATGAGAGCATTGGTTAAAAACCATTTGGTTCTCTGACAGTTATCCAATTCCAGAGCTTGGTAGTGCTGAAAAGTCACATACTATGGTTCAATTGAAGAAATGGACAAGCAACACAAAGGTGATTAAGACTGGTGAGGTATTAAATATGAGTTATCTCCCCTAAGTATAGAAAGTGGAATGAGAACAATCTAACCCTAGGGATGGAATAAAGAGTTCAGTTCAGAATTCGTATAAGGTTACTGAGTACAATAAGAGATATCTGAAAAATGCCAAAGGGTACAACTGAAATATCGTGAGTATGTCAACCAAGGTGAATATGGTGCTCTGAATAGCAAGGCATGTAATAAAGGTAACTGATTTTTTTTTTTTTTAATCATCTCTATTAGAAGTTTACTATCTATGGCTTAAAAAATAGTTTGAGGACTTTATATAGCAGCGCCAGTTAAAATGGATGTCACATAATTCAAAGAGAAACAATAAAATAAAATTTTGTTTGATTAAAACCCTGCTAACATGGAAGTACCCAAGAATCATTTGAGGCACATAATGCTTTATGAGTTCAAGAAAGGAAACTCAGCAGCCGAAGCGGCTAGAAACATTCACTCAGTTTATGGAGAGGAATGTGAATGAAAGAACTTGCAGATGGTTTGCAAAATTCAGAGGTGGAGATTTCACCCTTGAAGATGAAGATCGAACCAGACGTCCAGTTGAGTTTGATGAAAACTTCTTGAAGCAGCCCTTGAAGAAAATCCTGCTTTATCAGTTGAGGAATTGGTAGTGGTTCTCAGTTCAAACCATACAACTGTTCATCATCATCTTCAACAACTTGGAAAAGTTCTTAAACTTGGAAAATGGGTGCCTCATAAATTGTCTAAAAACAACCTCAAATCTGGAGTTGACATCTGCTCTTCTCTCCATTCTTGCCAACTTGTTTCACCTTTTTTGGATAGACTTGTGACTGGTGACGAAAAATGGATCTTTTATCGAAATGTTAAGCATCGTAGACAGTGGCTTGGTAAAGAGGAAGGACCCCAGCCACAGCCGAGAAGGGAACTTCATGGGCAAAAGGTTCTTCTTTCAATCTGGTGGGATCACCAAGGAATAATCCAGTTTGAATTCTTACCACCTAATGCAACAATTAATGCTCAAATATGCTGTCAGCAATTAGTGTTTGAACCAAGCTTTGAGGAAAAAAAGACCTGCTCTAGTGAATCGAAAAAGAGTGATGTTTCATCAGGACAATGCACGACTCCACACAGCAAGAATCCTGTCACAAAAGATCGAAGAACTTGTTTGGGAGAAAATTCCTCATCTACCTTATTCTCCCGATCTTGTTCCTTCAGACTACCATTTGTTTTGTAGCTTACAGAATCATTTGGAAGAAACAGCTTTTGTAACACAGGAAGAGGTTAAAACTGACATTTGTGAGTTTTTCGAATCAAAGCCAAAAGAATTTTACAGTAATTGAATTAGTAAGCTTGTTAATAGATGGAAGGAAGTCATAGATATTCAGGGAAAATACATTGTTGATTGAATCTGTAATTAAATGTAACATTTGGTCACTTGTTTTCTTTATTCAAAATTCGGACTGAACTTATGGGATAACCTGATAGATTTGAGAGACCTATTTTCCAGAAAAATTGTTTTAAGAGAAAGATTTTATAAATTTCAACCGAAAGTAGTACTGGATGCTTTGTCAATGAATGCCAAATGTTTCCTTATAAGGAAATGGCTAATATTACCATTACATGAATTTTTTCATGTTACTACGTTTCAACCACTGTTTGGAATTTCCAGAAAAGAATTTGAGAACAGCTTGTTAGTGCAAGTGCTGCCAATCCAATGGTTTGCATTCCCAGTTGTTATTTGAATATCTTTTAGTGTTGGGCTCAATTTTCTTGATTTGATTTCTAAATATCTCCACAAGTATGAACCTATATATCCTCTGCAGACAACTTCACTTCACGCTTTAATAATTTAAATCAAACTATAGGTGTAAAATTTGAAATTAAATTTATTACTAAAATTATTTTGCCTAAATTTCAAAATTTTGATCTTCATCTTTGAAAATCTTAAAAAAGGTAATGTATTTTCTCAAAATTTCTGCTTGTTCCAAATATCCATTTACCTTAATAGATACACATGTAATTGCACATGTTGGGCATTAGATTGAATTTTAGAATATGCTATATTAAATTTTTGATATCAACTTTTCTGTGAGACACTTGTCAAAGAAGATTTAATCAATGAAATATTCCTATTCTGATTGAAGTCCTGTACTTAAGACACCTGTTATCATCAAGCATTTTTGCATACCTGTGTATCCACAGACACTTAGACACAAAAATGTCCAGTTTCTAGATCCAATTGAAGAATTTCAAATCTTCCCTATGAGAACAAACATCACCAGAGCCAATAAAATTATTGGCAAACTTGGATTTTTGCGCTCTTAAAAACACAAAGTGTCAAAAGAACAGTTTTTCTCTTGACATCACTATTATTTTAACTACCTTCACTCCTTGTCAATGTTTATTGATTTAAAAAGTGATCATTAGAATAAAACCTAAACATATGAAAGTAAGTTTATACATTTTCTTTGTTCTTTAGAATTAACAAAATTAATAAAATCTATTAGATTGTTTATTGGAATGATTTGCAAAACACTGGCTAATTGTCAATTGATATAGACTTTATAAAATGGTAAATAATAAGGATTTCTTTTTAGTTGGTTCACATATTTGAATAATTTAGTAAATCTTTATAAATTTATGAATTAAAATTGTTTTCATATTTATTTCTTTATAAATTGGAAAATGATAAATATTTTATTAGTTTTTAGAATTTTGTAAATATAAAATTCTTGTTAATAAACAATCTAATAGTGTTTAATATTTTGTAAATTCTCAACAACAAAAAACGTGTAAATTCACTTTCATCATATTACAATTCTAAGCATTACTTTTTAAAACAATAAACATTGCCAAGTAGTTAAAATGAAAACGGTGTCAATGAAAAAAAAAACATCCTTTTGATATTGTGTGGACATGAAGATCCAAGTTTGCCAAATTATTTTACTTTGTGTATATCAATTACAATTGGGAATTAATATCTTTTGGCAAATAGGTTCTGAAAAGTTATCTATTTTGTAAATGTGTTGTGTCTATACAAATAAGAACTGAAAATTTGGATTAGTATTAAGTAAAACCTAAATCACAATTAAAGCTGTACCAATCAACTCTTCATCTAGAAAAATACATCATCATTTTATTCCAGCTTTGGTTCTTGGGTAAGTATTTATTTACTGATTATCTATATTGCCATACTGCCAAAATATAGCCTTTTTAAAAAATATTTTTATACCACCAATGACCAGATTTACATTATGTGAATGGTGGAATTGGTCACATTGCAGAACAGAGTTAATGCAGAATTTCTGAAATAATGAATTTTCATTATTCTAAACTGTTTTATTCAAACTGTTGTCCTCATCATAGTTTTTATAGTGACTGAATATGGCATATATCTGAAGAAGGTCAGAGGTTACAATGTCCAAAATGTTGTGACATAACCAAGATTCGAGCATTTTTATGCTAAAATCATTGTATAATAAGCATTTAAAATAAATCATAATAATAAAGTGACATAGCAGTTTGTAAAATTTCTAAGACAAAAAATATCATAATTTTTGCTTTAAGACTAATTTAGATTTTTTTGCAGTTTATTCTTAAAAATTTTCAAAATGTTACAAAAACAAAAAAAAACGTTTTGCAATATGGTAATATTTACCTAATAACTTATTTACCTTGCATGATTATTTTAGCATGTATACTCTTTATTTTGCTAATTCTCACCTATCTCCCACCCCAACCCAGTATCTTACAGCCATTGCTATAAGCAATGGTACACAATCATCAATTGATTCGGGTTCTAACTTTCAATAGACATTTTTATAGATGGTTATCATCATTGTCATGAGAGCTGTTTTGACTTGAAGGCATACTGTAAATTTGTTTGATTCTTATCTTCAGAAACTTTGTAAATAACTCTCCAATCCTCTTTGTCCTTTGCTAACTTACAAAAGTGTTGCAGGTCTTCCAAGACCTAAACTTTTTTATGGGAAATGATCAAATTTTATTGATACATTTTTTTTTTAATGTTGTTATTCAGTATGTATATTATGGTTATTCGTCCAATGTCTATGGATGTTATTCTTCCATTCGGTATTAATGACGAAACCATTTCTGTAATATTTACTGTCCATTTCTGAAGCTATTAACTTGTGCTAACTCTCATATTAATATCCATTCCATCTTTGATTTTGTTTTCTTGGAGACAACATATATCAATATTATAACAGTCAATGACCTGAGTTAGTGTAATACCTGCTTTTCTTTTTTCTTTTTCACAAATCCTTTAAAATTAAATGTCCCAAAGGTAAAATCTTTGAGATTGGAAGCATTTACAAAGTTTTAAATAAGAAATTGCTGACTTTTAACGATTGACAACTGGAGAAATCATTACCTTCTCCACCAAAAATATAGATGGTTATTTTTCCTTTTATGATTTTTTTCTTTTTTTGTTAGGAACTTGTTAACCAAAACCAGCGAACATTGGATGCTATCCAAAGTGGTTCAGCAAATGGAGAAAGTTTGCGTCGACAAGTCATTGACCTGACAAGGCAATTGGAAGTGGAACGAGAGAAACACAAGTAAGTAAAGATTCAATAAATCAATTTGCATATCTATCCTTTGTTACATCGGTAAGACAATATTTTTGTAGCCTAATGATCCAAAATGTATCTATTTTCAGCATAATCTCTTTCATTGTCAATTCGCTTAATTCAGTGGTAAATATTAATCACATAGATTGAGTATTAATGAAAATCTTAAGTAAAAATTCTGCCAATAATTACATTTCAAGTGTCAGACTTGATAAAATTCATAATGGAATTGACACACTATACTAGAATTAATATACTATAATGATAATATAAATATAAGATATAAAATACTTGATATATTCAGTATATTATAATATAAAATATATATAAAAGAAAATCTAATATAAAATATATAAAAAGAAAATCTAATATAAAATATATATAAAAGAAAATCTAATATAAAATATATATATAAAAGAAAATCTAATATAAAATATATATATAAAAGAAAATCTAATATAAAATATATATAAAAGATAATATAAAATATATATGAAGGAATATATCAAATATAATATATGAAGGAATGTATCAAATATAATATATGAAGGAATGTATCAAATATAATATATAAAGGAATGTATTAAATATGTAAAGGATAATATGAAATATATATAAATGGTAATATAATATAGTATATATTAATATAGTATAATGGAATTCATACACTATACTTTTTATATGATTTACTTATTTAGCTTTTATCAGTTTTAGGTAGTCATTTTAGATTTAAAATGTATTGTAATAAGATATAAGCCTTATTGCTAAAACTTTATTTTCTCTACATGCACTAAATTGAAAAGAAGCTTCCATGATTGGTTGAACAATTTTATTCTTAGATTCTCAATCTTTGTATGAAATTGTTTTCAGTAAACATGGATAAATGTACTCTCAAAAAAAAAGGATTGTCAAAATGATGGATTTTCTCATGACACCACTTTTATTTTAACTACCTTCACTCTTTGGCAATGTTTATTGTTTTAAAAAGTGATGATTAGAATTTGAACAAAATGTAAACATGTGAAAGTGAATTTATACATTTTCTTTGTTCTTGAGAATGGTCAACAAAAATAATAAACACTAATTACTTATTAGATTGTTTATTTACACTATTTATTAGATTGTTTATTGGAATGGTTGGCAAAACTCTGGCTAATTGCCAATTGATTCAAACTTTAAAAAATGCTAAATAATAAGGATTTCCTTATGGTTGGTTCATACATTTTAATAATTTACTAAATGTTTATAAATTTACAAATAAAAAAAATAGTTTTCATATTTATTTCTTTTATAAATTGGTAAATGATAAATATTGCATTGCATTAGTGTTAATACAATTGTATTAGATTTTAGAATGTTGTAAATATAAAATTATTCTAGTAAACAATCTAATGAATGAATAGTGTTTAATAATTTTGTTGTAAGTTCTCAAGAATAAGAAAAAAATGTATAAACTCACTTTCATCATATATTTAAGTTTTATTTCAATTTTTAATTACTGCTATTTAAAACAATATAAATTTTGTGATGTCAACGAATACTCGTTGCTACTTTTGTAATGCCAACAAATACTCATTGTCACTTTTGTAATGCTCATTGTAGTAGAGAGTTTGTAATTGCAGATACAACTTATAGTACACCATTGAACAATGCTGGTGTCAGACGCTTTCGAATATTACTCACACTAATAGAACTTGCTCGATGATACTAGCTCGAACAGTAATCCATATAGAGATCCAAATAGAGGAATAGTATAGTGAATAGAGTAGAGAATAGTGGTCCATATAGTAATAGAGGATAGAGTAGAAATAGCGATCTGTATAGTATAGAGGATAGACTAGAAATAACAATCATTAGTCGTCAGCTACTTCCTACATATATGCGTTTCCTCTATAGTCACGTGATCCACTTAATTCAATAATGTGATCACCTATGTTTGTTCTCTGGCAACCTATGTTCAAACTAGTGTGGACAGCAACACTTTATTCCTATATAACAATAAACATCACTAAAGAGTGAAGGTAGTTAAAAAAGCAGTGTCATGGGAAGAAAACCAACCCTTTGAGACAACATCTTATGGTGGGCATGTTTATCTATATTTGCCTTGTTTCCTTTGTCCTATTGACTTCATATATCCACTTTATTATCCTCTTAATGAAATAAAGATATATACAAATATATTTCTAAAGAATTAATGGGCATTTATTTATTAATCTAACAGATTTTATCACTGTAAACATTATTTTTAGTGGATACTCATAAACAGTATATGTATTTATTTTCATTTACCAGCCTGAATATTCAAGAAATCTTATTAGAGAAAAACATGTGCTGTATGGCAGGATTCAAATCTGCATTCTCCAAGGGTAAACCATCATTAAATTTGATGTGCTTTGAACCTCTTGGCTATGGAGTGTGTCAATGTTCATGCAAAGCTGAATAGTGCCTTTTAACACAGGTTTTTCTCTGACTCTTGAAATAGATATATCTGCTGAGTTTCTTATCTTAAACAAAGCAATTTCTAAAGAAAGGGATGAATTTCTTATTTATTAATCCAACAGATTTTATTACTTAAACGTTATTTCTAGTGGATACTCTTATTTGAATAGATACTCTGTTTAATTATTAAATATTATATTTGTTTATTTTCATCTACTGGCCTGAATATTCAAGAAATCTCTGGCAGGATTTGATCCTGTGTAACCCTGGGCAAAGGGAACGGTTATTAGATCAGACATGCTTTAGACCATCTCAGCCATGAACACTCGTGTGTGTGTGTGTGTTGTATTTATTTTTTTTCACATGCAATCCTCCCTGTAGATTATAAAAAAATCTTTTTTATTACATATTAGTATTTGTTGAATCTTATGAGTACAACATGCATGAATCAATGCTAGTAAAATTTTATGCACTTGTTAATTTGTAAGTACAACTGACAAATGGAGGATAGAAAGAGACACTATACATTTAATGTTACTGGAATTGTTTAATATCTGGATTTTTTATACTATTGTTCATGTAATACAAGGCCCAAGAGCCACTCAATGTAGATGGTTACTGATTGAGGTTATAAAGAGGAAGTAAGAAGTGTATGTTTGAGAAAAGAATTTGGAAATATAAAAAACAATGTTTCATGCTTATTTTTAATCAAATCCTAACACTTTGAATAATTATTTAATTTCATTATTTACATTACTTACATGCAGACTATTGCCCTCATTTTTGTTATCACAATGTTTCCACTATTATCCCTTCCAGCCTTCATCAGGTGCTTGTTGAACCAGACAATCTTCATGAAATGTTGAACTGAACCCTTTCTTTTAATCTACAGGGGTTCATTGTTCTCATTCTTCTGAACTTGTCTAATGATATCTCATCTAGTTATTTCTTGTCCTGTTTATGCTGGGTCTAAGTCTGAACTGCCTAACCCAGGGATTGAACTCAAAATTACTATGTCACAAAATTCATGAACCAATGTTTTAATACACTTGGTTATTTCCCCATAGATTAAAGCAGTGAATTATGAACTGGGAAGATTTGGACTCATTGGAAAAAGTGCAAGCAATAACTAAGCAGTACTAAATAAGAATATCCCTAGATAGGGCTGGCAAAAGAACAATCTACCTCTGTAGATAAAGGCTTCATATCAAAATTCCCAAAGGTTATGCAGATCAACATGCATCTGATAAAAGTCAGAGGGAACAATGGATGAAGCATTGTCATAATGACAAAATGTAATGGCTGACTGTTCATATCAGAGTATACCCGTTTGCTAGGGCAGCTAGCCAATCCCTATTGCAGATGGCTGTTCAGGCACATGCATGTTTGTTCAATACCCACAGAGCAACTATGTTGAGTGACCTTAGTTATAGTTTCTGGGAGAGTGTGCATTATCTGGCATGATCAACAGTTTGAACAAGGCCATTATGCTCAAACTCTTGGTCATGATGGCTCGTGACTTTATGCTAACTTAACAAATAGCAGGTCCCAAATAGTTCTGTCTACCCAATTTCATTCACAAGGCTTGTGTCAATCCATGGTTTCATATTCAGGTACTTTCCAAAGGTGTTGCACTCTGGGATCGCCTCCCCAGGTCAGTAACATCAAGTTCAGATAAATCAACCTTGGAAAGATTCAAACACACATTTCCTGGTCCAAAAGCAAATGTTCTGATCACTCAGCCATGAGCTCATTGATGAAGACAATAGACCATCTATATCTATAATTCTCAAAGTGTGTGTGTGTGTGTGTGTGATTGAATGTTGTTTATGTGTTTCCACAGTTTTCATCTGATTTTGATGAAATTTTTTTGTTTGATAGAAAATTCTTCAGTGCTGGTTTTGAATCCAAATTAGCTAGAAAAAATTACAAGCTTGAATGTGAAAATCTAAAAAAACTGATTATTTTTACACTTTGCACAAAAATCAAAGGCAAAATTTAATGTCTAAAAAACAGCGTACAATCAATTTAGAGAAATCTAATGCAAAAGATTATTAGAATTATAAAAAAAATTTGTATTATAAATAAAAATTATCATATATTATGACAGTCCATAGAAGAGGTTCCTTCCTTGCAAGATTGAGAACACAAAAACGGCCCTTTTCAGGGCCACCTTCATTCAAATTGTTAACCCCCCATTTGGAGATGTGCCTCAGTTGCACCCAATGGTTGTTACTAATATTGATTTTCGGGTGGGTTGACTTTAAACTTAAACTGCTCCAACTGAATGGCAAAAATTCCCAGTTATGAAAGACTCTGTCAAAGACGGGTTATATTGCTATTGTGTAAATAATGTGAACTCTTTATGCCAGTAATTCAGATAGATATTTGATTTCAATCATTTATAAAGGTTCAGAAAATAAGGAAACTTATCTGGCACACAAGATTGGGTCTTAGAATAAGCTGCCTGTATTCCTTGTGGAGCAATAAGACACATTTTCTGAATGAATACTTGTAGATTCAGATATAAACCAAACTCCTTTTTTTAG